TGACGCAGTTCCCTCTCATAAGTCTTACTCGAACGAGTTTTTATTTCTTTTTTGACCCTCCGGTTTTTCCACTGATGAAAGAGGTGAGGCAGTCTCTGTACCTTGAATTGAACTGGAAGTAGACCACAATGTTGATGGCAGCGCTGAAATAGCCGCAAAACGTCCCCGTGGTGGAGCAGACGATGAACAGATAGTGGAACCTCCGGCCCAGGTCGAAGTCCGGCACCGCGAGGCGCGCGAGAGAGTTGAGGATCACCGGGACATTCGAGAGCAAGAAAATGGCGCACACAAGGGTCACCGCTTTGATCACTTGTATCTCCTTCCCGTTCAGCGCTCCGTGTGATGTCTTCTCTTTTTCAGATTGTACTAGCTTTGATGATGGTGGGGTTTGCGTATTTATTGGTGACGTCATTCTTGGGGTGTGGTCATGTGATGATGAGGATGACGATGCAGAAGTTGATGTCACAACGGTAGAAGCTTGACGGAAAGTCGCGGATGCTCTGAGCGCGTTTACCAAAGCGAGCAGACAAACGAAAGAGATGGCGACGCATGTGTAGAGAAGAGCGTTGTTATTGAGTGTGTCGTGAACAGACTTACTCTCGCGGAACCCAGCCAGTCTCTTCAAGGTGAATCCAGACACAAGAACACTGGATTTGTTAATACCTCTACTCACTCGATACCTTGACCATGTCAGCTCTTGGGTGGCGATCGGCGGAACGTGCAGGCCGATTCCGATAAGGAAAATCGCAACCAGGACGATGTACGTCCTTTTCAGGGTGAAGAAGTGGCGGAATTTGAGAGCGATAACGACGCAACAGCACCTGGCCACAGAGGTGTAGGTCGTGATGAGAGCAGACGTTTTGTGGAAGATTAACGCGTACCAGATGACGTAATAGACGAGTGGCGTCAATGATGTCGTGCCCGTGACGTCATACAGGACCAAACCATTACTGACAGATGTGAAGGCCAGTATGAGTAAGTAGGTCAAATCGGACACGGACAAAGCCAGGAATGAGATGGACACGGGGTCGTCTCGACCTATCTTTAGAAAAATTACGATGTTCACAACGTTGGAAACAAGGCCAAATACTGTGATAGGAATCACAAGTGCGAACAGGAAAATCACGGAGAAAAGTTCGTAGGCTTGAGCATCTAGTAAGCCAGTTGGTACTTGTAGTTTGTTGAAGCTGGACACTGAAGTATTCATGCTGGACTTGTGTATCTAGACAACGAAAGTAGTGGTTGAGTTAGGTTTGAAGATTTTAAGGGAAACGGGTTTTCATCTTCATTTGTTCTATTTAGTTGCGTGCACACAGCTCGTTGAAGGCATAAGTGCAATGTGTCAGGTTAATGGACTCTAGATTCGTTTTTAGAGAAAGTGGGGCTCATGGAAACCCCATTTCCATTCTTGTATGGTATGGTATGGTATGGTATTGCATGGTATAGTATGGTATGGTGTGGTATGGGATGGGATGGGATGGGATGGGATGGGATGGGATGGGATGGGATGGTATGGTGTGGTATGGTGTGGTGTGGCGGGGTGTGCAGATAGATAGATAGATAGATAGATAGATAGATAGATAGATAGATAGATAGATAGATAGATAGATAGATAGATAGATAGATATTTTTCAAAGCTAAAGCCGTGCCAAGCACCAAAACTCTCAGTCAGAAAGCTAAACACTCTGAACTGAGGGAGGAAAAAAACTTCCCAGAAGAGAGAAGTACAGGGATCTACCCAAAATCTCACCTTAGGCGATCTTTTGTGTTGCTGGAATGGTTAACCTTTACAGAACCTCGCCCTTAGATTTACGGTAGGTATTCAGAGCAACAGACACACTGTGGTGAGAAATTTCTATCTACATCTTTTTTAAGCCAACGATTATGTCTGACTTACTGTGTGTACACTGTCTGAAATGAAAGAAGCTATTATACTATTACCTTTAAAAATATATATATGAGAGAGAGAGAGAGAGAGAGAGAGAGAGAGAGAGAGAGAGAGAGAGAGAGAGAAACTGTAAAATAAATGCGTGTCTAAATAATATCCTAATTTGGCTCATCCCACCCCCTCCAATCAGGAAACTAAGGTATGATTTGTCCACCAAGAAAAACAACAACAGAAGATTGTAGACCCATTCTGTTCAAAGGCGAATACATAGAGTGTAGTTAAACGACCCCCATCTATCCCCGAATAAATAGAGTGTAGTTAAACGACCCCCATCTGTCCCCGAATAAATAGAGTGTAGTTAAACGACCCCCATCTGTCCCCACCCCCTTTTTTCACTAATCCACGGACGAATTGAAGCTGATTTTCCAAAATAAAGAACAGCACACAATTTTAATTTGTATTTTTCCTTGGGAGCGTGTTGGTGCAAACCAGTTTTATTTTTATAATGGTGCGATGACAACGTTCTGAACTAATTTACCTTAATGATCCCTTGACTATATACAAAATGTAGATCTAGATCTATTATACAAACACGCAGTCTCTTTACATTCCCCAATAAGATTTTAGTATGCTATTGCGACAATATCAGACTCAATTCTCACCAAATTATGAGACCCAAAACCCCCTCCATTACTTTGATTGGTTTCAGTCTTATTTGGAAAAGTTTTTCGGGTGCAGATTTTGAATATGTGAATTACTTAACAGAAATAAACGCTGCTAATAATCCTTAAGTAAAAATTGAAATACATAATATGCAAGCCTGCCTAAATGGCAATGAGAATAAAGCCCCCCCCCCCCCCCCCCCCCCCCAAAAAAAAATAAAGAATCTAAAAAATCTATCTTCTCTCCCAGTCTGATGTCTAACAATAACCTTAAGAAATACTACCTGAAGGTGGAAACCTGTGAAGAATGAGGCTTGTTACCCGAAGGAAGCGGCCTCCTAGGTGCAACCGGACCCATTCTTCACAGGGTTGTGCTTTGGTGTGGCATTTCATAAGGTTGGGGTTTATCATCGCACTTAAACAATTGCATGTGGTATTAGCCTTTTAACATCTTTATGCGAAATCTACGCATCATGAGAGTTAGAGGCCATTTAAGTCTCCTGTGGTAAGTCCTCCCATCTCTTTTTACCCCCTTTACCTATTATCTCAGCACTATTTTTAACCTTGAAAACAACCTATTTAAGCCCACTTAGCGTCCGGCCATTA